TTAGATGAAAGTGATACAAATAGATTACTTAGTATTAAAATAGATAACTGAATAACTAGAAATTACTTTGATGAAAGTAATATGCAGCGAATACACAGATAGATTACTTTATATTAGAATGGATAATTCTGGATTATTTTCTTTTGCATCTGTATTTATTGCCTAAAATTATTATCATATCATTATCGAATTATTACAATTATTCATAATGATTATTATTACCATTATTTTTCCCTCTTATCTATATTTATTATATTCATGATGATCATCATTATTGCTATTTTCTTTCGTATCTATATTGCTCGAAATAAATATTATATCATTCACATTGTTTTCTTCTTACTATTATCATATCACTATCAAATTATTGCGATCATTTTTTTATCTTTATCATTTTTTATCCTTTTTTTTTGTTCATTTTAATTAATTATATATGCAATTAAAAGTAATCAAAGTAAAAATTGAATATGATATCAATAAGATTACATAATATATCAATTATAGCAATATAATTACAACATAAGATATCAATAATATCAATATGACTACATAAGATATCAATGATATCAATATGACTACATAAGATATCAATGATATCAATATGACTACATAAGATATCAATGATATCAATATGATTACATAAGATATCAATGATTATTATATTATGCATGTCCTCTTCTTTTACTACTTTATGTCATTTTTTTAAACGGAAAATTTGAGATATTTTTAAAATGTTAGTTTTATCATTCCTATCTGCTGCAATATGAAATGATTCGATTACACCTTTAAATTATTCAATTATTATAGTTTTATTGTTTCTTTTTGATTTTTAAACTGAAATGATTTCCTACCTGAAAATGTCATTTCGATTTTCAAACTAAAAGTGAAATTTGATTTTTCAAACTGAAATGACTTCCTTCCTGAAAATGTCATTTTAATTAGCAAATTTTAAAAATAAGAGAAGAGAAAATTATTATTTTCATGAATCTCTTATAATTTCATAATATTTTAATCCATCAAAAACAAAAGTGTCATGAAAATAGAATATCTGTCAACTATATTTTGAATTTCTGCAAAATGATTTCTTTCCTTTTCATTCATTTAATTCAACTCTAGTACTTTAAAAGCATTCATTTTAATATTTCAACAAAAAGATGAAGGCAAAAAAGGTTAAGGTTAACACTCAAATGGTAAAGGAAAAAAAGGTTAAGGTTAACACTTAAAGGGTTAAGGCAAAAAAGGTTAACACTCAAAGGATAAAGGCAAGAAAGGACACTCAAAGGGTAAGGGCAAAAAAGGGTTAACACTCAAAGAGTAAAGGCAAGAAAGATAAGGTTAACACACTCAAAGAGTAAAGGCAAGAAAGGTTAACACTCAAAATGTAAGAGCAAAAAAGGTTAACACTCAAAATGTAAGAGCAAAAAAGGTTAACAATCAAAGAGTAAAGGCAAAAAAGTTTAACACTCAAAGTGTTAAGGCAAAAAAGGTTACACTCAAAGGGTAAGAGCAAAAAAGATGAGGTTAACAGTCAAAGAGTAAAGGCAAAAAAAGGTTAACACTCAAAGGGTAAGGGCAAGAAAGGACACTCAAAGAGTAAAGGCAAGAAAGGTAAGGTTAACACTCAAAGGCAAGAAAGGTAGGGTTAACACTCAAAGGGTAAAGGCAAAAAAAAGGTTAACAACACTCAAAAGTTTCGTTTCAATTGCTCTAATGATCGTTTTGTAATAAAGTAGAAAAGCGATACCTTTCGATAATTTGGCATTTTTTTTTTCTCCGGTATTTTTATAAAATTTCAATAAACATTTCAAAATTAGATAGATAATCAGATGATAGTAATTATCAGTAATTATTAGTGAGATAATTAGATGATAATTAGCTTGCAAGAATGAAAGAGAGAGAGAAAGAGAGAGAGAGAGAGAGAGGGAAAAAGAAAAAGAGAGAAATGAAGAAAGGGTCAATATTATAAATTTCCTTTCATTCCATTAATAAAGTTAATTTAAAATTGCGTTTGTTTGCGCAAAACCGAAATTTTTTGATAAATCCTTCATTTCTCATAAATATTAAGAAAAGAAAGGGGAAAAGAAAGAGAGAAAGGGAGAAAGAAATAGAGAGAGCATTACTTTCATCCTTTGAAATGAGAAAAAGAAAGGGAGAGAGAGAGAGAGAGAGAGAGAGCTTTCTTCCTTTGAAATTTAAGAGTCAATCTTTTCCCTCAAGGAAAATAGATAAGTGACAGCATAAAGATAAACAATACTACGACAGATATATATGTATTATTACTATTTTTCTCTTTTAATTTTTTTCTTCTTACATTTCATTAATTATTACTATTTGCTAAAATATTTAATTACTAAAATTAATTTATTAATTTCAAATTTTTATTTAATATTTAATGAAAATTAAAATCTATTTAATAATTAAAAAATTTTGATTAATTGTTTGAAAGTTCATTCTTTTTTCCATTCAAATATTTTTATCTGTTTAAAAAAATTCTATTCAACTATTTCTATCCTAAAAGGATAAGGAGGAGAATTTAGTAGCTAAGTCGATAAACTGAAATGAATGATTTCAGGACATTCAGAAATTGTTGCTACGAAATTCTTATAAGGGGCTGATAAATCGGAATGAAAGATTTCAGGACGTTCAAAAATTGTGCTACGAATTTCCTATAAGGGGTCTGCTAAAACGGAATAAAAGATTTTAGGATATTCAAAAATTGTTGTTACGAAAATTTCTTATAAGAGGCCGATAAACCGGAATGAATAATTTCAGGATATTCAAAAATTGTTGCTACGAAAATTAATTATAAGAGTAGCTTTTGTTAGCATTTGTATTTTTAAAATTTAAAATGTACTATTTGAGAATGAAATCCTATCTCTCTATTTGATACACTGTACAATTGAATTCATTAATTAGATTGGAATTAAATTTCAGGACATTTAAAAATTGCTGATACGGAAATTCATTATAAGAATAGCTTTTGCTAGCATTTATATTTATAAAATTTAAAATGTACTATTTGAAAATGAAATCTCATTCCTCTATCTGATACACCAAACAATTGAATTCATTAATTAAATTGGAATTAAATTTTCATAACGTTCAAAAATTGTTGATAAGGCAATTTCTTATAAGAGTAGTTTTTGTTAGCATTTATATTTTTTTAAAATGTACTATCGGAAAATGCGAAATCTCATCTCTCTATCTGATACACTACACAATTGAATTCATTAATTAAATTGAATTTAAAATAAATTCAAACTTTTAGATTTGCTTCATGAAGTGTAACTTTTATGCACTTATCAAAATGCATGTATGTATGATGAAATAAATTGAACAATTTAATTTTCAGATGAATCTTTGTTTTCGATGATATAACATAATTACTGATAATTATAAAACAATCATATCGGTAATATTATCAATTAAATTAGATAGTAAAATTGTAATTAATATTGTATTTAATTGCTTCCAACGATAACAAACAACAAAAATGATAGTTGACAATTTAACGAATATTGCTAAGATAATGATTTAGATCAGATTTTTCATTTCGTCTCAATTTTTTCTCTCACCCCTTATCATCTCTTATCATCTTCTTATTTGATTAATCTTATGAAATTGAAAAAGAAATTAAATATTAATTAGAAATTAAAGAGTAATTAAATATGAATTGTTTTGCTTGCATACTTTTATTTTATTATAAATAATACAGAAAAGGGAGGAGAGAAATTTGCAGTGCAAACAAAAAATGATAAATATGAAAATCTGTCGAAAAAATAAAATATATATAATTAATTAATTATTAATTAGAAATTAATTTCATATTTTACTTTCATTCATTAAATTATTTTTTATAGTTTTTAATTTTTTTAATTAATTAATTATTAATTAGAAATTAATTTTATATTTATTTTCATTTTTATCAAATCATTTTTTTATAATTTTTAAGTTTTTTATTTTCGCTATTTCATAAATTTCAAAAAACTTCGATATTCCACTACATCGTTGCATAAAATAAATAATTAAACAATGGAATGATTAATTTAATGATAATTAAAATTTGATTGCAAAAGGAAAAATGAAATTATATGATATGATCAAATTAAATGTGATATAAATAAGCTCTCATATTATATCTGTTAGTTTATAATTTTTATTTTAATTGCTATTTACATCTTCTAAATTCTAAATTCAATTTCTGTTTTAAAAGCTGCATGTATCTTCTAACTTGTCAATTCATAATCATACATTTATTTAGCATATGATTCATAATAGAAATTAATTAGTATATCGAAATTTGCAATGTTTTAACTTTATTTTAATATAAGTTTGTTATTTATTGATAATTGATTATTTCCACCCTTTTACATCTTCATAATCTACTTTTTAAGATCATTGCTTATTTTGACCTCTTTACTATTCTTTTTGCTAACTTCGTTTAACCTATCTGTTCATCCACCTGTTATATAATATATACATATAATTGTTTCTTTGAATTAAAATTAATTAATCTATTTCATTTGTTTTTCATCTTAATACTAATATTGTTCAAAAGTTTAAATTATCTATTCAATATTTTTGTTTCATATTAAATGATTATAATTATTTAATAGATAATGAAAGTACACATCATTCATTTTATTCAATAGCTAAAGAAGATGATACGCAAGATGATACACTGTTAAATAAAATTTATACTCAAAATTACAATAACACTAATAATTAAGATAATTATATTCATCATATTAGAATAGTTCTTTAGATACAAATTTTCATAGATCAATAATCATTATCATTGTACAAATGATTTTCACAGATTGCAATAATCATTATCATTACTGATGATGAGAAATATTATTTAATCATGAACAATACAGCATGATTTAGTAGATAATATTCTAAGAAATGTTTGTAAAAAAGTTTTATTAAATTAAATGATTTAATTGAAATCAAAATATTTCAGCTCACTGATGAACAGCTTTGCATCAGATTCTACAATGATGAACAGTTTTTTAACTTTTCAACATAATCGACGAAATTCAATTTCAACTCATAAACGTGTTCATCATAATACTTGTCGTGGTACTCGATCCATTTCATTATTAGATCGTCGTGGATTAATTAGTGCTTCAAAGTTTCTGTCAAGGAAAAGTAGCATTTCACCACTACTTCACCGTAAAAGTACTATTTTATAATAAGTATAAATTATATAAATACAAAACTATATTTCATATTTTCAATCTATACCTAACTTATCAATGCAATTCAATATTGCAAATATGCAAAGTCATTTGGCAAACAAAAATTTCTTACTACTACTTCTTGCATTTGCACACATACACACACACACACACACACGTGATACACGTGTATTCTGATGATTATGATGTGAATACGTCATGCAATTACTTATCAGAAGAACTAACAATACTTTATTTTCCTAATATGCTAATGAATTCTCAGATAATAAAAACTAAAAAATGAAATATTTCATTTATAATTTAATTATAAAGGACAACACATGGATTCAACGGATTCCTTAGCAATGCTAATGCATTTATTGGAAATAGATGATAATCATCCCTTTCGCGATATGTTTCTACCAACAATAACAAATACGGATAGATCAACTCATAAATCAATGATATGGCAACATATACAACGTGGTGTACCACTTCATGTTCAACCTTTCTCAAAGGTCATCATCTATTATTGATTATGGATTATTTGTTAGATTTCAAAAATTTGAAAGCTTTCTCTTTATGCATTATTCTTTTGCTTGCAAATATGTAAAATTAAAATTATCACTGATATCAAAGAAAAGGTGAAATAAGATAAGAGGCAAAATAATAATTCTAAATGAGCATATTTGAATTTCTTCTGAATTTTTTCATATTTATAAAATTTGCAGAACATTATTGGAAGGGTATTGTTAACATTACAATATCATTTTACAACAAACAGTCTTATTGTTGATCTCATTCAAGTTAAAGATATTGCAGGAAGGCAAAATTGTGGTAGGTCATTTATATTTAGTCTATTTTAATGACAATCTGATAATTTTCATCAATTTCGAAAATATTTCGAATGATTTTAACAATCACTCGATCACTTGAAGATTGGATAAAGTCAATTATCCATATACTTTTTTTAATAGTAATTTTATTGTTTTTCTTCTCACTTTTCTATCTTAATTACCTTAATTGCTAATTGATAATCATAAAGAAAAGATGCAATTTTTAATAATCTAAAATAAATCTGAAAAAAAAGAACGAAAAAGAAATCCCATTTTTGCAGATATTTTCCTCAGTGTACAATTGCTGCAAAGTTGTAAAATAATGGAAAAATATGAAACATCCAGTAAACGTTTAACATCAAATATTTATTTCAAAAAAACAATGAAATTCAATATGCCTTTCATATTGTTTTATTCCAACGATGCTAATCTTCTCGTTAAGGTTTTCCTTCTCTTTAAAATTTGCAAATTTTTGAAACGAGAAAAATCAACTACAAAAAATATATTTATGCAGAATTCAGATAAAAGTTGAAGAAATCAGATAACAGTTGTATATTCAAAGAATGGATATAAGTATTATAGTAAGCGATGAAAGACAGATATCATTCAGTTTTCCTTTTTGGGGAGTAAAAATAGCACTTCATCACTAGCAACATTTGATGATATTACAGTTAATCATGATGATTCATGGTTAAGACCGGTGATATCAAAGTACTGACAATGATACGACGTTAGTTTCCCGCTTATATAATCACAAAAGAAAAAATTGCATAAAAATCATGTATTATAAAAGAAGCGTGTACATGACGTGTGATACGTATGTACATTACATTACCACAATAGTCTATATGAGAAGTATTGCATTTCAGGTTTGCCAAGACACGAAAAACGCTGATGAAATTGGTCACTTTGTGATAGGCCCGCAAGGAAATTCAGCAGGTGTACAACATTGGAGACGAATATTCAACAATCCAAATACTTCATTTTCAGCGTGGCATACGTTGACATCTGCTATAAGTTCACCAAATAAATTTTTAAATTGTAATTTTTAAAACAATTCAAGTTTCATGGGAATAAAAGCATTTGATTTCCTAATTAAAACAATACCTCAATTTCCAATTAACACACAAATATGTAAATTTATCTAGCATACACTTCAAATCACCTTTTTTCATGTAAATTTTAGGAAAGAATTTTTTAGACTCCCTCCTTATCCCCTCCACATCATTAAGAAATCACTGATCTTTTCTGCTACAAAGCGTTCATTTTTTAACCTCAAAAAGCTTTTTAAATTGATTCTAATTTCTTAGATTACGGAACAACGATGAAATAAAAACTTTTGCTAATCAACAATAACATTAAAACTACTCTGCTATTCAAATTTTAGATATAACAGTTCAGGAAAAATATAAAACGCATGAATTTGTAAAAGCGACATTGAAATGAAATTGGAATTACCGTAAAATAAAGCTTACAATATCACCGGTATTCAAGCAGTAAATGTGAAAACTTGAAGCAACTAATATAAAGCTACTTTATAGAGAACATTAAGCACCGGAATTCTCAATTCCAGAACTCAAAATTAATGATATTTGTGAGAAGTAGAAAATGTACATGAAGTGATCTCTAAAAAAAGTTCCCGTTAAACAAGGACTCCACAATTTTCAAAGTTCATATTTAAGACTTTCTATTTAAAAGAAATGTAAATTTTCATCGACATTAAAATCGCTCAAATGGGCTAATAAACAAAAAACTGATTTCAATCCAATAGTTTCGTCATACATATTGCATATGGATTAAGCCACTGGTAATGAGTAAAATTTCTGCAGATTAAAAATTTTACAATGATAAAGATAAAAGGAGAACTGTGAAGAAGCATGCAGATTTTCCTATCGAATCAGCTCATTTCGGATGTTCAAATTGCTTTCGATGTTCCACACTCTTTCGATAACACTGCGCACCATATCTAAAATTTTAGTATTTAAAACTAATAATTATCACATGCAGTTCGGGAGAGAGTGACTAAATTCCTTTTCATCAATACAGCCATATGCTGCACTACAGAACTACAAATAACGGTAGAAAATTATCGACCAGTGTTATCTTCCAAGATAACTAACTCTTTCATAACTCCGTAAGAGAAGCCAAGACTGATTATCTCACAAATACTAACTTGCACGGTATTTTTGCTTTCTTTGCTTTCGTTTCCTCATCGCTATCCGGATCACTTTCTTTCATACCGCTAACAGCAATTTTGTCGTCATTCTTAAGACTCTCGTTAACCATTTCGCGTTTCCTTTTTCTCGCTGTTGAAGCTTTCTCGTCATCTTTTTCACCATTTTTATCATTTGCGCAAAGAGGTATAGCATCATTAGTTTTTGGCTCAATGTCGGTTTTTGTTTTCGAAAGTTCCAATAGTCTCTAAATTAAGGATGAGTTGATGTAATAAGATATATTACAAAATCAGAATAGAAGCATGAAAATGAAACGGATCAATATTTTCCTGTCTGCATGAAAAAAAGCTTCGATTTTCGAACTCTGCGTCTGAAAACTCCGAAAACTTGTCTAATAAGTGAAACCAAAGTTTGAAGTTAAAAGTTCCTGAAGTCAATCGATGTACGTGTCTACGTTGACATTACAGTCACGAAACTCGAGTATCAAACAATATGAGACAAAAGCTTCAATAAAATTTAGGATTTCTGAAATTTCTAACGAAAATCATACAGAAAAATATTCCTTAATTCTCTGTTTGTTCAAAATATTACCTCTAATTCTTGCAAGTTAGTAGCCGTTTTCCAATCTTTATCATCTCGAATTTTTGTTACTCTCGGAAAACGTATCGATATGCCTGATGCTGTGTGCTTATCTGATCGTGTAAATTCCGCTCCTAAAATAAGGTTCTACGTTAAACCTTTTATTTATTGAGTGAGTTAGCAAAGGAAAATGAGTTCAACTATACTATAATTGTATGTACCTGTAATTTCCCATATTGGTGCTTCTTTGGGGTCGACAACAATGAAATCTGGGACAAGCAGTCGGGAACATTCAATCCATTCCGGTAAATTTTCGTATATTCGAGATATCTTATGCATCTTGAAAAGATACAGTGTGGTGTGAGAAAAACATAATAAAAATTCCGATAACTCAGACATGGCTTGAAAATTTTTCAAGCAAATTTATACATGAGTATTTGAAAAAGCATGTACGATCGCTAAATAGGCATAAAAACATTCAGAAATACTGATTACTTTTGGTTCTAATTCCTTATTGATACGATCTAGCGTGGCATCATCATGGCCATTGCCGCATTTGGTTACTGTACAAAATTTTTGTTTTTCCTTATCATACACTCCCATTAAAAATACTGACATCATGCCGCCTATAAAAATGACAAAAAAATGAAAACAGTATATGTGAGGAATTGATTAATATGATGAAAGGTGTTCGACACAATCATTATATATAAAGACTGATAACTGTACTATACCATAATAAACTGATACTGAAACAATAATAAGAATTCATTAAAGAGAACTTCGAGAGAGCTAAGGGAATGAGTACCTTTATTTCCTGTCCCATAAAAAGCACCAAGTACAATGAGATCAGCTGTATCCGCCATATCACCTCCTTTTAAGTAATCCTTCTTCACCTAAAAAACTAAAATTTCCTAAATTCGACTTAATATGAGTTGACATAAAGTAAAGTTCTTTTAGAACGTAGAAGTTACCTTCAGCCAATGCCTTTTTCCAGGTTCATAAATTGCATCCAAATCTTTTAATACCAAACCTTCTAGACCTTCATCAACGGCTTTCCAGATTAACATTTCTAATTTATCATTTTCCTGTAACAATCCAAAACATTATTTAAATGCTATGAAGTCAAATTTGGTGACTAGCAAAAAGCAAAGCAAACTTCTGACTCCTTTTTTAATAAGATGACAATCGGACAGTAATACACGATTTGGAACTTCCTTCATATTTTCCTCCAAAAATTTTCGCCGTTCCCTTAGTGACCTAAAAAAAACACTTGTCAATAAGAGTGGCAGCTCTTCCATAAAAGTACTTCATTTGCTACGTTTAACATAAAAAATCTCAGTGCTCTGAATACTGAAGCACATCAAAAATTGAAACTTAACAATTTGAGTTACATCATATTTCAACAAAAATAATCGACACTAACCTTTCCATTAAAGATTTGCTATCGTAATATATACAGTCGAAAACAAACAAGCAAACTGTCGCATCTTTGAACTGCTTCTTTTTATGAATACCTAATGTTCCGAAAGGTAACGGTTTCCCCGTATTTGTATCAACCAGTAACATTTCTGTGTCAACAATTAAATCTTTGCTCGTTGGAAATGCCTCTGAGACTACTTTATTCAGATCGACTACCTAGAAAAGCAGCCATAAGACTAAATCCTTTTAATTCATATCATTCAAGAAATCGAAGATGGAATTATAAAAATATAGATATATCAGGAAATTTGCAAACATTTACTCTAGTTTGCAACGAGATACCTCTTCAATACAATTTTCTATGCAAATATTGCGCCTAAAAACAGTCCTTAAGAAAATCCATAAGCAAACCTTGTGGTCCAGTGTTGGTTTCAATGATCGTGAGAAAAACATAAAGTTGTTACCATCTTTATGCAACTGTAATCTTTCCCCATCATATTTGGTTTCAGCATACATTTCTTTGTTGCATCTTTCCATTGCTTGTTCAACACTCCGGCACGGTTCGGCCTCAATAAGTTAAGTATACTTACAATATTAATTTAATCCAAAAATCATTAATTAAAATATCGTCGTCAGAAAAGAATGATCAGAGGATTTCTCCTTTTCTTCATTCGTTCTTCCGTCTCTAAATGTTAATTTTTGAATGTTTATTTTTTGTCGTGCCTACTCGTCTTTATGTGAGCTTTTTATAGCAACCTAAAATTAAGGAACGAAGTGTGGCATTTCAAACTAAGATGGCTGGTGTGCAAAACTTACAAGCATAGGCTTAATTGGCGTATTCAAAACTATACCACTTTCCATTGACTTTTCTTTATCAGAGTGCTGGCATTTTTCAATGACAGTTCGCAAATTTCGTGAATTTTGGAACATTTCATATGCACCTTTCCTTAAGCCTTTTAATCTTAAATAAACAAACAGTCATTGATATTTACTTGTACTGAATAGCAAAAATATTGTCTCCTAGTCATAGAAATACATAATTTCAGCAATGAATTTGGAGAAATTTTAGTATTTTCATATGAAAAGGAATGCTTATTACTGGAAGAATGCACAGGAAGAAATGTAGATACAAATTAAATTGATGCATTAAACCACAGATCAATTCAACACTTACATGTGTTTTGCGCCAGCATTTACACGTAAGTCTTTCATTATCAGACGAATAACATATTTCAACTCCAAGCACGAGACTCTGCAATTATATAAATTCGATTCACCTACGTTAATATATAAGAATTTTTTAGTATGTAACAAAATAATCTTAAGTGATTAACTTCTGTTCAGTTTAACCGAAGTGAAAAAACTGTATTCATTTCTATAAGATATAATTAATGAATACGATTCCTATCAAGGAAGTGAAAAAATTATAATGAATACAATCTCTACCAAGAAAAAAACAAATGCAAACGATGACTAACAATTCACATATTTTCGAGAAATGTAATTGTTGCTCCTTTTCCCGTGTTAATTCACTCAATTTTTCTAACCAATCGTCTACCTGAATTTCAAGCACTTCAAAAAATTTCATACAGAAATCATAAAGTAATCTGAGTAATAAAGATGGAGGCCTGCATTATTTACTCTCAGTTTAAAAATGGACTAGACTTATAGTGAAAATAAACGAAAAATCATAATTCTACAAAACTGAACTCAACAAATGGTTCGCTCATTCATATTTTTAGCTTACCATCTGATTGGTCACTTTCGATTTTTTTCGACCATCACCGGATTTCGAAAAAAAGGAACATATTGTCTCAGACACATCGCCTGTTTGATTGTACGATTCTGTCAATTCGTCAACTGACCAGTCAAACAGCTTAAAAAACGATCACATCTATTTAATTGTATATTTTGAAGCAATAGCAGTTTATTCCAAGTGAAACATATCAGACTTTGATAAAAGTAGGACAAACGTCGAAATAATCATCACAAGCGGAACTGTGGTTCTGAATTGACTATATTCACTGCAAACGAAGGAAATACAGAAAAGATAAACATGTTGGAACTGAGCTAGTATAGTTGGCCTTGGTGACCGAGCATTCATTGCTCTCTGTTGTTCACGTCCAAAAGTTCAGTTGATAATAGAGCACAAAAATAAAATTTGA